ACCACACCTGGACAGTTTGGGGGGGCTCTACTAAACATCCCCCAAACCCCCATTTCCCACCCTGATGCTTGGCCTTTCCCGTCTCCCCGGCATGATTTTGGGGAAAAGAGCTGGAGCAGAGGCTGTTGGTTATCCCACCTCTGTGTAAGCAGGCTGGGAATGGGGGGGCCTCCTGGGAGCACTGGGGGACTGGGGGGACTTTGCAAAGCGCTGGGAATTCATGCTGGAAAAGGGAATGGCATGAGGATGGACACCTGGGGGTCACCATCCCCCAAGTCCTGTCCTGGGATGGAGATGGCATGGGAGGGATGGATGCTGATGGATACCAGTGGGAATCTTCCCAGGTGCTTTCCAGCTCATCTGTGGGGGTTTTGGGGTGGGGATGAAGCACCCGGGTGCTGGGATCCCCTGGATCTTCTCCATGGTGATTCCTGTTGGATCACCTGCAGGCAAATGGAAAGGCAGTGGAGAGGCTCCTGCCCCAGAGTCTCCGGGTAATGTTTTACCTGGAAAAATGGTCCCAAACAGACCTTTTTTCTCCTAAAATGAGGCCGCTGGGTGCCGAGCCTGAGGCTTTGATCCCAGCAGAGAGGAGCCTGTGCTGGGACAGGCAGCATTGGGATTAATGATGGGATGTGCAGCATTGGGATGAGTTGCAGAGCCTGGAGACAGAGCACCAGGATAGGCAGTAAATCTGGGATGGGCGATCCTGGGGCATGTGGATGCAGTGCATCCAGCTTGGAACACCCATTTCCCTCAAAAGTTGCATCTTGCACGGACACGAGACAGGACAGCAGCACTGGGACACACAGTGCTGGGCCAGGGAATCCTGGGAGATGAGGCCCATGACAAACAGCGCTGGGATATGCAGTATCAGCACATGGAATGCCAGGATGTGCGATCCTGGGACACGCAGTCCTGGGACATGCGATGCCGGGACACGGAGAGCTGGGACACCGTCCTGGGACAGGCTACTCCATGGCACTGCTGGGACATGTGACACCAGGATGTGGAACCCTGGGACATGCCATGCTGGGACACACAACACCAGGACATGCAACACTGGGAGATGCAATCCCAGGCCATGAGACACTCACTGGACACACGGTGCCGGGACACACAGCACTGGGATGTGTGATGCTGGGCCACGCAACACCGGAATATGCAGTCCTGGGATATGTGGTGCTTGGACACGTTGACATACAACACTGGGACGTGGAATCCTGGGACACAAAACTCCAGGACAAACAATGCTGGGACAGGCAATGCTGGGATGTGCAACAGTGGGACATGGAACATGAGGGCATGCAGTCCTGGGACATGGGACACCAGGATGTGCAACAGGGGGAGATGGAATGCCGGGATCTGCAACACCAGGATATGGAGTGCTGGGATGTGCAATCTTGGGATATCCAATACGATACTGGGACACAACACCAGGACATGACACACCAGGACATGCAATCCTGGGACACAAAACTCCCACCCGGACATGCCACACTAGGACATACAGTCCCAGCCCAGCCCCAGCCAGGACTTCTCCAGCAGCACTTTTCCCCCTTCCCAGGGAAACCCTTGCAGCTGGATCGATGCCTGTGCGGAAGAGGAGCGGAAATCCTGTCGTGAACACCCTGAGTTGGGCACGAGGGGATCCCCCTGTCCCCCTTCCTTCAGGGTCTGGGGGCTCCCAGAGGGTTCCCAGAGGGACGGGCTCCGGCAGGGAAGGGGTTATCCCTGTTTTTAATTGACTGGTAACAAGGACCCAGGACTGGCTCTAATCTCTCTGGAATGTGACCGATTTTCAACTATTTTCCTCCTTTTTTTTGTCGCTGTTTCACAGCTCCAATCCCCACGTGGGGGACGGGGGTAGGGGGGCAGTGGGGACTGTGTCCCAGCTGGAGCTGAGGGATGGGGAAGGAAAAGGGTCGGGGGGGTCATTTTTCCACATCACCACTGAACCATTCACCAGCTCCCCCCCCTTTGTATATTTTGAAAGGGTCCTCCCTTCTTCCCTTCCCCCCTCCCCTCCCCAGCCTCCCGAAATGGCCTCGAAATGAGAATCAGCCTTTTATCCCCCAAACCTTCCCCCGCCCGTCCCGTCCCCATCCCCTCCCCATCCCCTTGCGCCTTCTCTGCTTACAGAGTGGCCCAGAAAGCCCCTTTGTGACAGAGAGCGGGCAGGGGGTCCCGAGGGGGGGCCAGGGAGCCCCCTCAGCATTGGGGGGGCATCTCCTGCCTTGCCCTGTGCGTGGTCACAGGGATGATGGCGGGGGGGACACGGCGGGGGGGCACCGAGATCTCATCCAGGGCTCGGGGCATCGCCCATCCAGGATGGGGATGGGGATGGGCAGTGGGGGGTCCCCAGTGTCACCCCAGCAGGGCTGCAAGGGGAGGCACCTGGGACATCACCTTGGGCGTGGCTGTGGGGCTGTCCCTGTGCCCTGGGGCCGTCCCTGTGCTGTGGGGCTGTCCATGTGCCGTGGGGCTGTCCATGTGCCTTGGGTCACCCGGATTTGGGGGGTCATCAAACCTGAACAGCTCCTGCATCCCAGGGAGGGCCAGGCCATGGCACGCCCGGGGTGATGGTGAATGCACGAGTCATGGTGAGCCAACGGTCACAGTGGGCCCAGGGGTGACAGTGGGCTCGTGAGTGACAGCCCTTGGGTGACAGCCAGGGGTGACAGTGAGCCCATGGGTGACAATGAGTCCCACAGGTGAACAGTGAGCCCGTGGGTGACAGTGAGTCCACAGGTGGGCAGTGAGCCCACAGGTGACAGCCAGGGGTGACATTGAGCCCATGGGTGACAATGAGTCCCACAGGTGGACAGTGAGCCCATGGGTGACAGCCACAGGTGACAATGAGTCAGTCCATGGGTGATAATGAGCCCACGAGTGACGCTGAGCCCGTGGGTGACAGCCCACAGGTGACGCTGAGCTGGTGGGTCACGGCGAGCTGGGGTCAGGGGTCACCCACATGCCAAGCACACGCCGGGTGTGTGCTGTCCTGGCTCCCGGCCTCCTCCACGGACAGATCCGGTCCCGACTGCTGACACCAGTGGGATTATCCCAGCAGTGCCAAAAGTCTCCCCATGGAGGCACTGGAGCATCCCTGTGCCGGGATGGGGATGAGGAGTGGCCCTGTGGCAGCTGGGTCAGACAGGGAAGCAGGTTTTTGGGGATCCCGTGTGCTGGCACCTGTGGGAATGGTTGGATCATGGGGAATCCTCATCTTGGCTTTGGGACTGTGCTGTGCTGAGGGGGTCCTGGGTGGGGGGTCCTGGGGTGCCAGCAGGGAGAGGGTGTGATGGGGGTTTCTGGCTGCTGGAGGTGGAGCGGGATACCGGGGATGGAGTGGGGGGATGCTGGGGATGGAGGGGTTACTGGAAGCAGAAGGAGGATACTGAAGGTGTGTGGGATACTGGAAATGCAGGAGTGGGATGTTGGAGATGGAGGGGGGATACTGAAGATGGAGGGGGGATACTGGAGATGAAGAGGAGGGGATAATGGAAGTGCAGGGATGGGATACTGGAGGTGCAACAAGGGATACTGGAGACAGAGGCAGGGATACTGAAGGCACAGGAGGGGATGCAGGGAAGATGCTGGATGGGATGTGGAGTGCAGGAGGAGATAGATGGGATAGTGGAGATGCAGGAGGGGGATGGTGGAGACTGGGGGACAGCAAGAGGTGGTTCAGAGGGGACACTTTGGGGGTGGCAGGAGGCGATGCAAGGGGGAGGAACCTGCCAGCCCTGGAAGAGTTAACACTCTCCCAAACTCCTCCTGGGTTTTCTTTCCAGCTGCTTCAGCTCAGGAAGGTCTGTATGTGGGGAAATTCCTGCAGGCAGCTGCTCCAGCCACATTCCCACATTCTCGAGCCCCGGCATCTCCAGGGACGTTCCCTCCCTCCTGCTGTCTGCGGGAAACGCCTCTGCCCCCCCCCCCGACACTACACAAAGTGCCTTTCTTTGGGGGGCTGCTGGGGAGACACCTCAGTGTCACAGCAAGATTTAACCCAGGACGGGGAAAACCCCCAAGCACCTCCAAACCCCCTGTGTTTGCCCCCCTCCCCCCAATATGGGACTGATTTCTCGCATGCCAGCAATCTGGGGTTGATGGTGGTACCCCAAGGACCGGGGACAGGGGGGGCACCCCCAGGCACAGGGACCTCCCAGGAAGGCAGCACCATTGGGGTGGGGCTTGGGGTTTAAATTTGGGGGGTTGCACCATTTGGGGCAGAAATTTGGGGGTTGGCACCATTTGGGGTTTAAGATTCGAGAGGGTTGTACTGTTTTGGACAGAAATTTGGGGTTTGCAGTTTGAGGCTTTGCACTCTTTGGGGCAGAGATTTGGGAATTAAAGTTTTGTGCCATTTGGGATTTGGGAGTTTGCACCATTATTGGGGTCTGTAGAGGCACATAGGGTTGAAAACTTCCCTGTGTCCCCCCAAAACCTCTTTGCCACCAGCCCAGGGTGTCCTCCATGGATTGAGGTGTCTCCAGCCAGTGCAGGCAGGACCAGGGAATGTTTTGAGGCCAGGCTGTTGTTTCAGGGCTGGGGAATGTTTTGGGGCCAGAGGGGTTTTGAGGGCCTGGGGAATGTTTTGGGGCTGGAGGTGTTTTGGCTGAGGGGTAGTTTGTGGGCTGGGGAATCTTTTGGGGCCAGGGTTTTTTTTTGGGGGGGGCTGTAAGAGTGTTTTGAGGCTGGGGTGATGTTTTGGGGCTGTGAGGGTGTTTCGGGGCTTGGGGGATATTTAGAGGACGGGGGATGTTTTGGGACCGAGGGGTGTTTTGGTGCCAGAGGTATTTTGTGACAGGGGGTGTTTTGGGGCTGGGAGTGTTTTGCAGTAGAGGGGGCTTGGGGCTGGGGGTGGGGTGTTTCGGGGTTGGGGTGATGTTTCAGGACTGGTGCAATGTATTGGAGCAGGGAGTGTTTTGGGTGGGGGTGTTTTGGGGCCGGGGTGTCTGGGGCTGTGGGAGCCCATCGTCCCGTCCCTCCCGCAGTACCTGCAGATGAAGTGGCCGCTGCTGGACGTGCCGGCCGGGGCCACGCTGAAGGACAGTCGCTCGCCCTCGCCCGCACACCTGGTAAGAACAGCCCCTTCCTGCAGGGTGGGGGATTCCCAGCATCCCCCCACGATCCTGGAATTATGGAATCAGGAAATGGTTTGGGTTGGAAGGGACCTTAAAGACCACTCAGTCCCACCGCTCTGCCCTGGGCAGGGACACCTTCCACTAGATCAGGTTGCTCCGAGCACTGTCCTACCTGGCCTGGAGCCCTCCCAGGGACAGGGCAGCCACGGCGCTGCTGCCCGGGGGATGTTCCTGGGGGGGTGGCTGCTGTCCCACCCTACCACACGCTCTTCCCGCAGTCCAACAAGGTCCCGGTGGTGCAGCACGGCCATCACATGCACCCGCTGACGCCGCTCATCACCTACAGCAACGACCCCTTCCCACCGGGGTCCCCACCCGGCCACCTCTCCCCGGAGATTGACCCCAAGACGGGTGAGCACAGAGTGGGGGGACACGTTTGGGGGAGTGAAGGGAACGTGAGGGTGTGGGTGCTGTGCTGGGAATGGGGGGCTCTCCCTTGAGTGGTCTCTCTGCCTCTGGGTGGTCTCAGCCCGGTCCCTGGGAGGGGGCTGGGGATGGGTCCTCACCTGGTCACAGGTTGAGCTGGAGTGTGGGGATCCCCCCAAGGGCTGTGCTGTGGGTGTCTCAGCAGCCTCTCCCCAGCCTGGGGTGACGGGTGCTGGGAGGGAGACGGGGTGCTCTGAGGTAGATGGGGTGCTTGGCAGCAGACCAGATGCTCAAAGTGAGATGGGGTGCTGGGAGGGAAATGGGTGCTCACAGGGAGGGTGCTTGGAGGGAGACAGGGTGCTGGAGGCAGACAAGGTGCTCAGTGGGAGCTGGGATGCTCAAAGGGAGGGTGGTGGAGGCAGACATGGTACTGGAGGACAGTGGGGGGGCCCCGAGGCTGCTGTGCCCCTGTTCTAACCGCCCATTCTGTCCCCTCTCTCCCCTGCAGGGATCCCGCGGCCGCCGCACCCCCCTGAGCTGCCCCCCTACTACCCGCTGTCCCCCGGAGCCGTGGGGCAGCTCCCGCACCCCCTGGGCTGGCTTGTGCCACAGTAAGGATGGACTGGCCCCAGCACGGGGGTTGCTTCCAGCTTCGTGTCCCTGTGAATCCCGGGAGCCCACAGCCCCCTGAGACCTTCCTCCTCTTTCCACTTTACCCAGTTTCCCCCGCGAGTTCCGCAGGATGCCACAGGCTCCTGTGGGGGGTGGGAAGGGAGGGGCTCCTCACCACTGGAAAATTTGGGAATCATTCAGATGGAGATAGCTGGAGACCAGTCCAAGGATCCCCATGAACTGGGAAGGGATTTTTTTTCCACTGAAACTCATGTTTTTGCAGGCAAGGACAGCCCGTGTACTCCATCCCTCCCGGTGGCTTCCGGCACCCGTATCCCGCCCTCGCCATGAATGCCTCCATGTCCAGGTGGGTCTTGGAAGGGGGAGGGACCCTCACGGGCATCCCGGAGCTGGTGGTTGGTTTTGGGACACTTCCCTGCAGAAAATGCACAGGCACAGACCAGTCCCAGATCAGGGTGTTCCCCTTGCGTGAAGATCCCCCTGGAGGGAGCGGGTGGTCCCCACGGGTGGAGGAATGTGACATCCCAAGGGCTCAGGGCATTGCTTGCGTTGGGTTTGTGTCCCCATCTCAAAGCTGGGGCAGGATTTGGGTGCTTTCAGGTGGATTTGGGGTCTCCAGGGTGGATTTGGGGTCTCCAGCATGGCTTTGGGGATTGCAGCATGGATTTGGGGTTTGCAGAGTGGATTTGTGGTTTCCAGGGTTGATTTCAGGGTTTGAAGCATGGATTTGGAGTTCCAGCATGGTTTTGGGGTTTCTAACTTAACTGGCTTGAGGCTGGTGGTCTCTCAGCCCAGGAGGTTCTCAGGGGGGGTCTGTGGGTGCCTGTGGGGAGGTGACCACCCCTCCTGTTCTCTCCCCCCGCTGCAGTTTGATGTCCAGCCGCTTCTCCCCACACATGGTCCCACCGCCCACCCATGGGCTGCACCCCTCGGGCATCCCACACCCCACCATTGTCTCACCCATCGTCAAGCAGGAGCCCACCCAGCCCAGTGCCAGCCCCGGAGGCAGCTCGTGAGTGGGGGCCGGGCCAACCGTGGGGACAGGGGCTCGTCCTGGGGGTCCTGACCCCCCATCCTGCTCCTTCCAGGAAATCCCCTGTGGCAGTGAAGAAGGAGGAGGAGAAGAAGCCCCACATCAAGAAGCCACTCAACGCCTTCATGCTGTACATGAAGGAGATGAGGGCCAAGGTGGTGGCTGAGTGCACGCTGAAGGAGAGCGCTGCCATCAACCAGATCCTGGGCCGGCGGGTATGGTTGGGATCCCCCCATCAGGGACCCTCCAGACAGCCCAGCTCCACTTCTCCCCATGGATCCATCCCTGGACCTGGGGTTCTGCCAGCCCAGGGAGTCCCAGGGAGGTGTCAGGCGTGGGGAGGGATGGGGAGGGATGGACCTCTGCAGCCCAGGACAGTAGGTCCTCAGGGTCAGCAGCATGGATCTGGGGATTCCAGCCTGGCTTTGGGGTTTCCAGTGTGTCTCTGAGGTCTCCAGTGTGGCTTTGAGGTCTCCAGCATAGTTCTGGGCTTCCCAGCATGTATTTGTTGTCTCCAGTGTGAATTTGAGGTTTCCAGCGTGGCTCTGGGGTCTCCAGTGGGGATCTGGGGGTTTCCAGCACGGCTCTGGGGTTTCCAGCCTGGCTTTGGGGTTCCTGGCGTGCCTCTGGGGTCTCCAGCGTGGTCTCTCCCTGCAGTGGCACTCGCTGTCGCGGGAGGAACAGGCCAAGTACTACGAGCTGGCGCGGAAGGAGCGGCAGCTGCATTCGCAGCTCTACCCGACCTGGTCGGCGCGGGACAACTACGTACGTGTGTCCTCCGCGGTCCCACCCCCCCGAGAGGGCCCCTCTCCCGGGGTTTGGCTGGCAGGGGAGGGCTGGCCGTGCTCTGGGGTCGGTGTTTGGAGTGTTGGGGGCGGTTGGTGACGACGCCAAGTCCCCGCGGATGCTCTGGGGCAGCGTCAGCCCCAGTTTCCCACCACGGGCAGCCAAAAGCCACAGAAGAACCCGAAATCATCTTTTCCAGGGCAAGAAAAAGAAGCGGAAGCGCGAGAAGCTGGCGCAGCAGCAGAGCCACGACACGGACAGTGAGTACCCCCCCCCCGCCTCCCCCTGCGCCAGGCTCCGGCCGCTCACGCTGTGCCTGCCCTCCCCAGGCTCCCTGCCCTCCAAGAGCAAGAAGCCGTGCGTGCCATACCTGCCACCCGAGAAGCCGTGTGCCAGCCCGGCCTCGTCCCACGGCAGCATGCTGGACTCGCCCGCCACGCCCTCGGCCGCGCTGGCCTCGCCCGCCGCGCCGGCCCCCACCCACTCGGAACAGGCCCAGCCACTCTCGCTCACCACCAAGCCAGAGGCCAGGGCTCAGCTCGCTGTGCATTCCACTGTCCTCTCCAGCAAAGCCTCCTCTTCTTCCTCCTCTTCCTCTTCCTCTTCCTCCTCCTCCTCCTCCTCCTCCTCCTCCAGCCTCAGCAGCCCACCCTCGCTCCTCTCCAGACCCATCCCCTTCCCCTCGGTGCCCCCCACGGCTCTCGTCTCCTCGCCCCCTGGCTCTGTCCCGGCTGCCTTGGCCGTGCTGCAGACACAACCCCTTTCCCTGGTCACCAAACCTGCTGACTAAGGGAAAAACCTCATCCCCCCTCGTCCCCTTCACCCATCCCCTCCCCGCTGTACATTGCAGAAGCCACAATCAAGATTCAAACGCAGCCAAAACCATTATTGGTCAATATTTGACCCTTTCTGAACTTTTTGGAAGCAGACTCTGGAGGAAGGGGCTTTCTACTCAGAGCTGCTGCCAGCAGTCGACCTAAAGACTGTTTTTATTAAAAAAATGGAAAAAAAGGAAAAAAAAAATTAAATAGACCCTCCACAAGCTGCCGACGATGGGAATCTCCGTGGGATGAGCCAACTGCCCGTCGCTGCCGTGGGGCATAGGTGGTGCCGTGCACTGGCACGGTGATGCCGGCACTGAACACGGCGAGTGCTGTGCTGGAGCCGGCATTCCATCCTGGATCCTACAGTAGGAATGCCTCCACCTGCTCCCGAACCCTCCCATCCTGTGGCTCTGCTCCCATTCCCGGCTCCCACCTTCGCTCTGTCCTGGCGAGGAGCCGGATCCTGTCCCGGGGGTGCTGCTCCATCGGTGCTGCTTCTGCCCGCGGTCGTGCCGGGGTGGGCAGGGTCCGGGGCTGAGCCCTGGGGGGGTTGTGTTTTTATCACCTCGAAATCTTGTTATTTTTCACAAAAGGAAATAAAACTACAGCTGCAACTCACTGCGTGAGCGTGGTCCATGCGGGAAGGGCTCGCTCCTTGTGCATCACCTCCTTCCCGGGAAACATGTCGGGATGGGCTTCCAGTCCCACTGCAGAGGTCCAGCATCCCCTGAACACCTCTGTCAATGGGCACACGGTGATTTTGGAGTGTCCAGTTTGGGGTGCTAGAGCTGCAGCAGGATGTGGGGGATTGGGTGACCCAGTTTAGGAGGTGCTCAAGAGGTGGGAAGTGGGAGTTACTGGTGTGCACTGGATGCTCCGTGCCTACTTCTTCCAAACCAGGGATGAAAAGATTGGGATGAAAAAGGACCAGCACAAAACCAACCCAATGGATTTTCACTTCACCTGAAGTCCTCAATCAGTTCAATATTTGGGCCCATCAGGACTCCTCCCTCTTCCTGTGTTTTAACAGGAAAAAAAACTCAGTTTCCCCCCGGAACTCACAATTTTGTTTCTGTTTCAGATTGACTCCAAGCTGCACCCATCCAGAGCTGATTTGTGGGGTTCATAGTCCTGTTCCATTCCCTTTCTGAATTTCCCTCCCAGTTCCCATATCCCAGGACGTTCTCTATCCACACCCCTCCTGCATTTTGGGGACCGTGGTGTCCCCCAGCTCCCGGCTGTGGTGGTGGTGACATCCTGACTGCCGGTGACAGGTGAGCTCATCCTGCAGCTGCTGGGTCTGGTGGAGCTTCGGCTCCTTTGGGGATCAGTGATGTTTTTCACTCCTGTTTTGACATTTCCCTTTCCCTTTCCAGCGCTGAGAAGCCACCGGGGAAGTATTTTTGGGGAACTGGAGCAGCAGCAGGTGCCTGTCTGCAGGTAGAGGGGAAAGGGACCATCTTGGTGTCCTTATGGAAGATGTGTTTTCTAGATGAACACAACATTGGCATGTATAACTCCAGCAGATGACACCTGGATTTGAGGATTTTTGTATCAGAGCTGGGCAGAACTACCAAAAACTCGCACGTGACCTGTGCCCCCAGCTGAGGGGCCCTTGGCTGAGCCCCAGGGACACATCTGGAGCCAACGCCGACTCTCAAAACCTTGTGAAAACTCCTGATGCCTTCTGCAAACAGCAGTGGGACCTGCAGCAGGAGCATGGCTTCTCCATCCAGTGCAGGACCATCATCTGGACAGCAGAAACTCCCATGCTGGAGCATCCTAGAGCTCCCAAAATCATTGTTCCCAGGGGTCCTGGCTAGTTGGGAGCCGCGAGCAGCGAGTGCAGCTCATGCAGCTGCTTGGTGCCACCACCACCAAATCCTCCCAGTGCCCAGAGCACGACTGCCATTGTCACACCCAAGATAACCCCAAATCTGGGAGGCGTTTCCATTCCACACTCCAAATTATTTAAATTTCCTTCTTTCAAAGAAAAAAAAAAAGTGCAGATTCTGGGAAGGAGCTCCATTCCTCTGCAGGAGCACCCAGGAGGACTGGCCACGTGTCGCACGGTCATGCGAGCGCCGGGGTGGAGGGGATTAGGGTGTCACCCAAAACGTGCGTGGCTGTCGCTTGAAAAGGGCCAAAATGGAGCTTTTTTCAGAGAGAGTGTTCCAAGAAAGCGGTTTTGGGCGAGGAACGCCTGGATGGCATGTGGCCTCACTCTCCCCGACACTGGGAGTGGGCTGTGGACAAACAGCTCCTTGAATTGCATTTCATGGGAAATTAAAGGCATGAAGAGACCTGTCACAAGAATTAAATCTGAACTGGAGCCAGACAGCTTCAAACAGATGTTGGGCTTCAGCAGGAGAATATTCCTTTGTTTTACTCGGCGTTTTCCCATATGGAAAAAGAACATCTGTTCCAGTGCGTTCACAGTGCTCCAGAGCTGAGACGGGATGGGATTATCCCTGCCAGAGGAGAAGGAACTGGTCACCAAACCCTGCTGGCCTCACTGCTCCTGGGAGAGAGGGTGAGACCAGTGATGTGTTGCTCCAGTCTTGGGTGGACCCGCTGGATCTGTCGTGGTTGAACGGATCATAGGATCAATACATCCATCACGCCTGCAGCAATACAGCTGGATGAAAATGCTGAATTCAGAGTGGTTTTCCATGGAAAATGGGTCCTTCCAGGGTTTATTTGTCCACTGGGAGGTGCTTCTACAGGAGGCATCTCTGCCCATGGCAGGGGATTGGAACAAACTAGTCTTTAAGGTCCCTTCCAACCTAACCATTCCATGATTCTAGAAGAGGAAAACTCTGGGGTTTGTCTTTGTTGCAGACAAAAACTGGATATCCAGTGTGTTTCCATTTGGGATGATGTGACAAGAAGGTCTGGTAGCCCCACTGCTCTGTTTCGGACAAATTTTTGATGATGTTTTCTATGATTTAACTTGTCCTCAGAGCTGGAAGGTGAAATGGAGCTGGTCAGCCTGGGGTGTTGGAGGCTTAGGACGCTCCCCAGCAGTGTTTGGCTCCCTGGAAGTAACTAAAGGGGCTCCAAGAGAGCTGGAGAGGGACTTGGGACAAGGGATGGAGGGACAGGACAAGGGGGAATGGATTCCCACTGACAGAGGGCAGGGTTAGATGGGATACTGGGAGGAAATTTTTCACCCATGAGGGTGGTGAGGCCCTGGCACAGGTTGCCCAGAGAAGCTGTGGCTGCCCCTGGATCCCTGGAAGTGTCCAAGACCAGGTTGGACGGGGCTTGGAGCAACCTGGGATAATGGAAGGTGTTCCTGCTCATGGCAGGGGGGTGGAATTGGGTGATCTGTAAGGTCCTTTCCAACCCAAACCATTTTGTGACTCCATGATTTTCCAGTTATGAGATTTCACTTTTCAAACTTGCACCAAAGCCCCACAATTTTACAGCCAGAGGCCCCAGTTTTTCCCATGAGAAATGAGGTGCTGCCGCTGCCACTGTTTCTTCACGAGGTGCCTCCCAACCACATCCAGGGAAGAGGAAAAGGTCAGGGAGGGAATGACATCCCACAGAGTGCTGGCAGCAGAGGGAAGGGGTAGCGTGTTGTGCAGAGGTGGGACAGCTGGATCCTGCCTTAGTGAGAGGCACAAAACAGCTGGAAGAGGGGACAGGGTGCCCGTGGGGTCCCCGTGGAGGCACAGCCGGGCGGGAGAGCTGGGAGCAGCCGTGGGAATGATGGAGCTGGGGCTGGAAATGAGCAGCTGCATCCTTGGTAAATCACGTTCACCATCATTGCTGCCTGTTCCCAGAGGGAAACAAAGCTCGGGAAGTGCCTGGTGTCTGCTGGCTGGGGATGGTCCAGGTGAGGAATTACCACAGAGCTGTGCTTGGGGTGGAACTGGCTGCCCCATCCCTGGAAGTGTTCAAGGCCAGACTGGACAGGCCTTGGAGCAATCTGGTCTAGGGGAAGGTGTCCGTGCCCATGGCAGAGGGGTGGGACTGGGTGGTTTTTAAGGTCTCTCCCAATCCAAACCATTCCCGGTTCCGTGAGAAGGTTTCAAACCTTTGAGAGCCGAACCCCCCAGGCTGCAGCCCTTGTGGAGTTTATTGCCAGGAGCTGGCGAACGCCTCATTAAGGGCTCGTTGGGAGCAAACTCCTGGGAGTGCTGGCCCTGGGCGCGGGAGCATCTGGGGGCCAGCTTGGAGCTTTCCCGGCCGGTTTTTGGACGTGGGGTTACTTCTGTCACCTCCTCTCGATTGCTTAATTGCAGCCACCTCCCCCCTCCCTCAGCCCCCCTGCTCCGGCTGGCCAGGCACTAATTGAAAAGCCTAATGAGGTCCCAGGGGTCTCCTGCAGAGATGAAGCTAATTAAGGGCTCCACCACGAACACCGAGGTTTCCTCAGACCTCTTTTTCGGGGGCCGGGGGGGAGAGTGCACCAGATGTCCTGTTCTCCCGCTCTGCGTGCTCAGGGCTCCTGCCAAAGCAGCTGGTGCAGAGGCAGTGGCTACACTTAATACATTTTAAATAGCATCATTAAATTCTTCCATTTGCTAATTGTTTCTCCTTTTGATCCTTTATCCTGACCAGATTAGCCCTCTGGGGGAAGGGACAGGATGGGGGATGCAGACGTGTCGGACAAGGTGAGGACTTTATTATCTTGTCACCAGACCTTGGGACAACATGTTAAAACACCCCAAATAGTGTAGATTAAGGCCAGATTTGTGTGTCCAGCCTGTTCCTGGTGGCTATTCTTAGAAAGAGTCATCTCCAAAAAGTGAGATTCCACAAGGATTCATGAGAATAGACAGCACCAGTCCAGGAACCCCCAAAACGCTGCTGAGTTGGGATGTAGAGTTGTTGTTCAGGTGATAACACACTCAGGGGACTTTTGGGGTGTCCTGTGCAGGGCCAGAAGTTGGACTTGATGGTCACTGTGGATCCCTTCCAACCCTGGATATTCCAAGATCCCATGACACAGGACCAGCAGCCGTCTCATGTTGGCTCAGGCTGTGTGGGGAGGGATGAGAGGTGAGGTGAGGTCACTGGTCCTGTTTATCCTGTTTTATCCCAAGAGAAGTGTTGGATCCTGGTGTGAGCCACCCGGCTCTGGGCTGATGTCAGCCTCATCCATGGTATTTGGGGCAGAATTCCGTTCCCAGAGGCATTGTTGTAAATC